GTTTATTTTTCGCAGTGTCTGCAGTCGTCTCCCCGCCGGGAGACAAACCACTTACCACTTACGCCCTTTCCTTAAGCTACCCCCTCCCCTCTCTTCGCTCTCTCTCTCTCTCTCTCTCTCTCTCTCTCTCTCTCTCTCTCTCTTTCCCCCCGGCCTCAGGCCAGATTTACGGCAGGCTGTGTGTTATTTGTTGGGCGATAGAAATTAGGAACAATTAAGGACGCAGTGAGGGTGGGGGAGAATGCTTACATGTTCGTAACCGCCTCGAGTCAGCCTCTGCTTCCGCACTCCCCCGAAACACACAAACCTTCAGCAGCTTATGAAAACAAAAGCAGCGCGGCGTTGAGTCTCCACATCTCCCTCGTACGGCGTCATAATAAACAAAAACAGAAGAAAAGGTGAGGAGAAGAAGAGTCTCGTGTAAAGTCCGTCCGCGATTTACTGCTGTGTTGACCACATCTGTCTGAAAACGAGTGATCATATAACACGATTATTGTTGGTATTAACGCGTTATTATTAGTATTTTGCCGGTGCGCGCGCCTCGACCCCCCCCCCCCCCTTCTTATTCTTCCTCCTCCTCCTCTCGAAGGCACCGACGCACCGACGTGCCGCTTCATTCCAACGAGCGCCACGCGAGAATTTATTGCGTTTGCCTTTCGTATAATTCTGCCGCTCATCTCTCTGTGTCTGCGGGTGCTACGGGACGGGACGAGGCGGGGCGGGGCGGGGCGGCCGTGAGCGGCGTGGAGTCATCATACAGGGGGACGACTGCGACTGCGACTGCGACTGCGACTGCTCAGCTCTCCGCGCCGCGCCGAAAAGATTGATTGCTTATGACGCGGCCCGATGACGATATGGAGGGAAACAAATTATTTTGCATATTATTTATCCCGTTTGGAGCGCGTGCGCGTCGCGCCGCGTCGTGGTGGGGGCACGGCCTCTGGCCTGGCCGGCCAGAGCTGCGCGGCCTCCGTAGAGGATGCTGCAGCGGCTGATGGAGCGGCTGCTGGAGTGGCTGCTGGGACGGCTGCTGGACCGGTTGCTTGAGCGCCTGCTGGAGCGCCTGCTGGAGCGGCTGCTGCTAAAGGCTCCAGGACGTTTCCAGCAGAGGCTGGCGCTAGTGGGGTGGCCATGTCGCTGGGCCCGGGGTTATCGCGCCGCCAAGAAACCCTATTCAGCAGTGGCGGGGCGCCTGAGGGCCGCAGCGGTGGCTGTGGGCCTAGCCAATCGTCAAAATAAATCCATTTCCACCTGACGGCTCCGCCCCGCCCCGCCCCTACCCTAGGCCCTCCCCGCGCTCCCCCGCCTGCACTCCGCCCCGGGGCACGCGACGCTCACGGCCGGGCACGGCGGCATAGACGACATAGCGACTACCGCTGCCACCCGCTTTGAAAACGTGTTGCTGGTTCTCGAAGCGAGCCATCGTCAGGGGAAGATTAAGATTGGGTGAGGAGGAGGGAGGTAGGCGCGAACGCTCCCCCTCTCCTTGTATCTCCCTGTCTCTCTGCGTGTTTACTTGTGTTTGTCCCTTGGTAGGGAGGGAGTAAGCCAGGTAGGGGCCTTGGCCTCGTCCGGGCCGGCACTTGATTCGGCCGGGACCGTTATCGAATTACCGTCAAACTTGTTTCCTGATGTCGTTGCGCCGTGAGATGAGCTCCGGCGCGGTGGTACGCTAATCCGTAGCGCATGGCGGGACCAGGGAAAAGGGGGGGGGGTGCGGCCAGTGTCTGCGGAGGGAGTAGTAGCGACGACCTTGATGGCAATCGGGAACGTATCAGAGTATCTGACCGTCCAGCGGTTCGACTTACGGGGGAGATTGGGAGGGTCATGACGTCATGGATTATCGCGCTCGCCACTCACGAAGATCGCCCAACCGCCCAAC